GGGGGCCTGGGAGCCAAGACCTGCCATGCAAGAAAGCCCTGATATCACCAGGGAAACTTCCCGGGCTCTGAGCGCCCCACCACCGTCCCAGATGGCAGTCGCAGCGGCAGAGAAGGAGGAGGAGGAGGGGGTGGGGGCTGAGGACGAGGTACAGCACACGATGCGAGAGACGAGCGACAGCGTTTTTTCCACTGATGATCGCGAAAAGAGATTGGCGTTACCACCATCAACAGTATCGTTAATCTCCACGCCGGAAACGGAATACAGGAATAGTTTTGGTCGTGGATCTCTGACTGGCTCGTTGCTTGGCCCCCACGAAACGTTACCACCACCATCACTAATCTCGGCGCCAGAATCGGAATACAGAAACAGTTTTAATCGTACATCTCTGAATAACCCGTTGGTTGGTCCAAGCCCCACTGCGCCTATTGTGACGCCACCGCGAGTTTCCATGGAATCGGCATCCGAGGCGTCACCACCGACATAACCACCTCCACAAGATTAATCGGCCTTGAACCTACCAGTCAGCGATGGGTTGGTTCGCTGATTACTGCTTCATATTGCTTTCGGTCATTATCTCATCATTTGAGGAAGACACAGCATGTCCTCTTTCATTTCATGCTTTAGTTGCCGTCCGTTTGCTTTTCACATCTATCTTTCATGTCAATCTTCTATGAAGTTTTGCTCAGTAATAAAACCACATCTATTCTGCTACAGGCACGAAACCCTGTGTTAGCCTGAAAGATATTGAATGTACAGTCCATAGGGGTACTGAGCGGTCGTGTTGTAATTGGATTCCTGTTTAGGTTCATAAAACGTAAGCATGAAGGATAAAAGGCAGAGAACTATAGAAGGCTGCTTGGAAGGCTAACTTGTACAAAAACCGCCTAGCTGCAACTTTTAAATAGCGTGAATTTTCCACAATCTTCCAATTTTTCGCGCGCTGGCCGTTGGTTCAGTGGGGGTTGATGATGATATTGAACTATAGAAGGCTCCCCAGAAGGCCAGCATGTACAATAACCGCTTAAGTCAGTTTATTAGGCAAACTGACTTTTCAAATTGACCATGGGAATATCCGCTTACTTACAAATTTTAAGTAGGGTGAAGTTCCACAATCTTTCCATTTCCGCCCGCTGGCGTTGATCTCGTTGGGGTTGGTGATACTATTAAAAAATGTACCTCAAAGACCTCGCCTAAGGTCAACGAACACCCGCCAACTTACATAAGTAACTTTGCGAAAATTCCCATTGAAAATTTCAGAAGATGAAATGCTGAACATACGTTTGTTTTCGAGAATTCTCATCAGGCCTTTACATTTATATGGTAATTAAGTAACACTGATCGGCTTTGACCCCCTTTCCCCCCCCCCATCCCCTCTGTCCTGACAACCGTTCTATTTTTTCTACCAACCCGCATAGTTTATTTATTTAATTAACATATAAATGTAAAGGCCTGATGAGAATGATCAAAAACAAGTAACATTCTTAATTTACATGATTACTGCGCCCTAATTTGTCCCCTAACATGCACCATCCATTCTTTCCCCTAAAACTTGGTGCCCTTATTGGAGTGGAGCGCGCTTTGCGCGCACTGTGGGCACCCTACGATTGTTCCTTACCGGATAAAATATGTATTTGAAGGGTGGTTTCCAACCTAGGTTACATCAGAAACAGACACGCCCTGGGCGGCTCTTAACCCTGGTCTTTGATCCACACAATGGTAGTCTTTTCGCTGTGAATTAGGTTAATAGGTAAACCCCTTGCCAGTACGATCTTCATACCTAGTTCCTTGTAGGAAGTGCATGAATGAGAAGCCAGATGGTAGGATCAGCTTATTCTGTACAGAAGGAGGTGGAAAATAGGTGGGAGGAAGTTGATTGCCGGACGTCTGGCCGCGAGGTCACCGTGTCTGTAGTGTCAGCGCAGTAATTATCCCATGAGGTCCTCTATGGGTTAGCCTCAGAGAGGCGATTGGACGGACTGGACTGGAGCCGGCCTAAAAGTGCGCCCGTGCTACGAGTCAAGAGAGGCAAACGGTTGAGTGTTTCATGTGATCTTGGGATACTCAAAGTACTCCCTTCCCACACCGGAGTTTGGTTAATAAAAGAATCCGAACGGAAGAATTAAAGATAAATTTAGCGAATGACGTTCGTACAACGGGAACAGCGTTAGCGGCTGTAGCTGGCATGACTGAGCCAGGTTAAATGGGCGGTTGTGGCTAACTGCATATACGCAAACTAAATTTATAGAAGGTTTCTTAAATTAATGCGAAATATTGACACAACTTCAATTTGCTATTTGTTCTACAGATCTTTCTTTTTGTGGGTCGCTGAAAAAAGGTCGTTCGGAGGTCGACCTCGCGAAGGGATTGGCATTATCTGAGAGTATCGTGCACGATAAGGAATACTACAATGAAAAAACTCAAATGAGCTTTTTGAATCAAGAACACATTTCAGAATTTGGTATA